ATTAAAGTAGAATTGTAGTCTAGGTTGTGCTTGTGGGGTATAAAAAACTATGGATACATATATGCAGAATATACCAGTGAATTCAGCCCTGTCTTTCCTGTGGTGTAAATCTATCCTTTGGTAGGATAGCCAAAATCCTACTTTTATTGTTGCTTCACCCAGACTGCTCTGTACTGCAAATTCTCCAGGAGTGTGTGCTCCTCCTGCCCAGGAGTCAAAATTGTCTCCATTTGAATCAATAGGAGTTTTATCACAGACCTTACTAACACCAGTATTGAGTCCTGCAGCCCCAAGTCTGTGCTAAGTGGTCACATCCAATTTATCCAAAGGAAAGCTGTGAAGTGGGAAAAATACAGACAAAGAAATGTCATTTAGTCTGTCATATAATAAAATACTTTAGTTTTTGTACTCTGAAGAGCAAAAAGTGCTAATGTGTTATTGATGCCATGGCTGAGAATTTTCTCATCTGGACTACAGAGAAGTGAAACAACTCTTTCAGTATTTTAAATGAGGGCAAAGGGAAGAACATTTTAAGCTGAAATTCTGAAAAATTTCTATTGAAGGGTCCTAAATTTGTGTTCATTCCCATTACCAAGGGTTATATTCCTCTATCTCAAAAAACATTATAATTACAGATATTGAAAACCTTGGTTGAACTGTCATCTAAAATCAGAATCCAGCATAACATGCCCTAAAACCTTTTAGACTGAAGATTAATTAATGAACCAAACAGAAAATTTTCATTTACTAAGACTTTAGGGTCTCCTGTTGCTTTGCTTAAGTCTGCTTGAAACATTTGCTAAAAATACTAATCTAATCCATGCATGGTCAGCTTATGAAATATGACAAAATCAGAGCATAAACAGTCATTGGACTGGCATTTCAATTTTTAGCTAACTAGCCATAAAAACAAGCAATCAAACTATGTAACAAATTGTCTTTCTCTTGCCCAAGATTTCCAAGGAGAAACAGCACAGCATGCACAACATTTGACTGACTTGGAACTTGAATTCTTCAAAAAATTCTAATGATCCTTTACAACTGTGTATGTAATGATCCACAGCATCCATACTTCTGCCCAAGCTATGTTTTCAGTGTGCTTAAAATGCCATTTCATTTTCTATCTAAAACAAAATATTAATGTCTTGGATTTACAGTAATTTACTGATTCAGTCTTTGACATCTGATGGCCCTACCAAAAATGAGGAATGGCTTTGCACTCTGATGGCTTATCTCAGAATCCTTGAATCTTATCTGTCCAAGAGGTTATTGAATGTTGATTGTAAAATGTTGAATGCTATCCCGTATTTCTGTGCTAATATTATCTGTGAGAGGAGTCAGTTACTCAGATTTTGAAACACCCTGTATACGAACAGCAGGTCATTTTTATTGAGCTGCTCCCTACACAGCTCCCTAATGATTCCTTGGTCAGGGCTCTGATTGCAAATACCAGTAGCTAACAAAGGGATAAAATTGCTCTGGTACAATCCTACTGTGCGTTTTTAATATAATGTGCTAATACATTGTCCAGTGTTCCCACAGAATTGCACCACTTCACCGAGTAGGCCTGGCCAATATCTGATTGATTCTGGTCTGTGGGGATCGGCCCAGTTCAGTATAATTTCCTGTCTTGCTGCTTTCTTGTCTGTTAGAGAGGGTTTGGGTCTGTGAAAATCAATAGCCTTGCACATGCAAAATGTGAGGTTATTCCCTAGCAAGTTTCATTCGCATCCTTGATTTATGGAAAATGTTGTTTTCTCCTCTGCACTTTTTTTTTTTTAAACTCTACTTAAACAAATACCTGTTTAAACATACCACCCGAAGTATTTGTACAGGAGAAAATGTAAATTACTGTGAGAATGCTGGAGAAGTTTAACATGTGCATAGCCGGGATCTGCTACTTATGACATTAATAGCACTTAACTGTTACGTAAACGGAGTCCTATTTGTCTCAGCAGAATCATTAAAGTTCTGATTTATCCTAAAATGGACTCTAATGTTCTATTTAATCATAACAGATATTTAAGTGTCTAAGAGTCTATTTCCTTTCACCCTGTGAACTTTGGAAAGCTGGTAATTAATGGTGTACAATAGGATAACTTTATTTTTATAAGAAATATGTTTCTAATATTTCCCTCACTTATTACAGAAATTGAAGCAAACTGAAGAAACAAAAGAAGATTCCCAGAACAGAGTATCTAAAATGTCCCTGGAGTCTCTCAATAAATTTAACAGCAATAACGTGCTTTTATTAGAAAAAGAGAAGAACTGTCTGAACAAGGTTGAAGGACAAAGGGAAGAAAATGGGAAGAAAGAAGAAGCTTCCTTAAATAGCTCGGGTCAGCACGAAGTGGACAATTTGGAATCCTTGAGTGATTCCCTGTATGATAGCTTTTCCTCTTGCACCAGCCAAGGCTCCAACGACGTGTAGAGACACTTCCCAGTGGGCTGTGACCGCGGCACACAACGGACCTGAAGGCGAGCAAGGAGTGATGGGGGAAAAAGAGACAGTTGCTGAAAATTCCCCCTCTGGATCGTGGCACTCATGGCAGGGTGTTCTGACTTCCCACCACACAGCAATAAGGCAGGGAGGCGGCATGGTGGCACGTGGGACTCAACGCTGAACACAGCGAGCGCTTACACAGAATAAAGTCTTAATTTTGCACTTTTGTGAATATTTGTACAGTTGTAAATACCTTGGGAAAATATATTTGTAGGGATACACGACAGCAATAAATATTACATTGGTGCTATGCTCCTGTAATGGCATATTACTAACTTAAAAGAAATTGGTGTTAATATTAACAAGAAAAGTTAGTAGATTTTTTAAAAAAGATTTATAATTGTTCTAGTCTTAAGACTGTATGTAGAAATACTGCGTTACCATAAACCTGAGCCTGCCAGACTGTCTGCAATAAACTTTCACGGACTCTGTTTTACAAAATGTTTTATTTTTTACTTTTAGTGCAATTCCATACAGGTGATCTAGGGAGGCATGCATTTCAGTTATTACGACTTCACAACAGGTGTCTTATTTCAAAAGGGTTTTGACTTTTGACATGGCAAGAAAATGAATAGATTAAAAGTCTTGATACTGCTGGCATTGGCTTCATCAATCATGCACATAACTGTTTGAGAGATCAGGGTCAAAGCAATTCACTGCTGACACAAACGGGAGTCTTGTAGGAATGAGAACTACATAAACCGCCCAGTGCTTCTGACTGCAACATAGTTTTTCAACTTCCACCTCCTCTGTACTCATTTGCCATCAAATTATGAATGTACCATACCGTGTTATCTTTTGTAGTCTCTGTTTGGTCTTAATTAAATTCTAAATAGTAAAATTATTTTTTAAAAACTGAAACAACTCCTGTTTGTGACACAGTACAATAATATGTTGGTGCTAACCAGTACTAGTTCAAACATATCTAGGAGCAGGGCCTGTTTTGGGTGTTTTTTGTTTTTTTCTACAGAGGTTGTTTATATGTAAGGGAAAGTCTATTTCAAAGGTTCTGTGTATTTTTTCTAGCCGTGAAGTATTTATAACTGCTTTTTGTACAGCAATTGTAAACTAGATATATTTGGGGTATTTCTAGACTCTATAGTTTCTTTAGCACATACCTGTTAATCTTTGAAATATTATGTGATCAGTGTTAATATTTTGTGCAATTTGTTATATTTTAAGTCATTTCCACCGTAAAATTGCATCGTCTTTTTCGACTTCTAAGAAATTTTCATTGAATCATCTTTTGTAAATAAAACTTTTCTTGCGTACCTGTGCCTGCAGAGGCGTTCTGGGAAGGGGATGGTATGACACCCTGAACGTGAGGGTGGGCTCAGGGTGGGAATCAGCGTAGCCAGCTCAGGGGGGTACAGGGGGTACCCGCCGAGCCGCTCCAGCTCCGGGGCAGGCTGGGTTCGGGCGTTTAGGGGAATTCGAGACACGGGGATTTTAAACAGCGATTTAAGCTTAATTCAGACTCTTCATCTCAGTAAGGCTGTGAAACGATCACGGAGAAATTACGTGGTTAGCCGGGGAGGAGACGAACAACCCACTCGAGCTGGGTCGCAACAAGGCGGAAAAGACCGTCCCAGCATCGACGACCGCAGCATCCTGAGCTGCTCCTGCCGCTTCCGTCGCCCTTCCCTCCGCCGGGGCGGGCTCTGCCCCGCACTCCGACGGCTCCTCGCCGTTCCTGCCGCCTCAGCCCACCCCATCCCGCCCCGTCAGTGGATCCCACCGCCTAAGACTACCCCATCCCAACCCACCATCAGCTCCCATGGCCTCAGCCCACTTCCCCCCGCCTCCGGACCCTCCGAGCCCCCATCCCGCCGCGCGTCCGCGGAGGAGGCGGAGGACTGCCCGCCGCACCGGCACGTAGGCGGCTACCGCGCCCCTCTTCCCCCATTTTGTCGTGCTTGAATTCCCTTCCAGGGGGTCGGGGGGAGGGCGCAGTGCAGAGGCGCGGCCCCTCCCGGAGACGCGGGTTCTGCGAGGCGTTTGCGGGAGACGAGCGACGCCTCGCAGCGGGCCCGGCCCATCAGTGCTCCGGCTGCCACCTGTGGGCTTCGGGCAGGCGGGGACACGGAGAGGACCGGGGCGAGCGGAGCCACCGCGCGGAGCCTGTGCCCCGCTCCCGGAGGGGAGGGATGGGCGGGGGATACGAACGAGCCGCCCCGGCGGGCGGAGGATCGCGGGGTCCCCCCGCAGCGCCGTGCGAGCCTCACGCCGAGCTCACAATGCGGGGGCAGAAGCGAGGGAGGTCTCCTCCCTCGCTGAACTCTTCCCGTCCCCAGACTGCGCCCAGCGAAGTGCGGGGCGGCTGGTGGGGATCCCCGCCCCGCTCCGCCGGCATCACATGGTGCTGGGGGCGGGAGGGGGGGGGAGCCGTCCCCCAGCTCTCGCTTTCTCCTACAGTTTCTTCAGTCTCAGCGCTCAACTCCGGCGAGGCTGGAGCGCGGCGCGGGGCTGGGCAGGGCGGGAGCCGGGCGGGCTCCGCCGCCTGCTCCCGGGGCGCCGCTCCCGGAGCGGAGGCGGCGGGGAAGCGGCACAAGTGCGCGGCGTCTCCGCTGCTTCCCTGCTTCTGATGCCCCTTCGCGACTGCACGCCATCCCGGCGGCCGCGGCTCCGGGAGGATGCGGCTTTTCCTCCTCGCTGCAACTTTCTGGGGATTGTGCCTGGCTCCAGGTAAGGAGCTCCGCGCCGCTCCCCCGGCGGCGCGGGCGGACAGCCCGAGCTGTCCGTCGCTGCCCGCAGCGGCCGCGGGGAGGTTTCGTCCCCTCGCAGCCCCTCGACGGAGCTGGCGCTGTCCTGCCCGCAGAGAGCCCCTCGCCGCCCGCCCGGTGTCCCCAGCGCGGGGGGCCCGCGGGGCGAGGTGATGCTCCGCAGGCAGCTCCCGGTGCGGGACTCGGAGGATGCCGCTTGCTGACCGCGGGCGCCGCGCACGCCTCTCTGGGCGAGGGGGTCGGCGGCCAGCGGGCTCAGTCCCGCCGCCGGAGGGCACCCACGGGGTTCTGCGGGTCCCCGCTGCGGGGCGAGGGGTGCGGGAACCGCTGGCGGAACGCCGGGAGAGGCGGCTGTTTGGCGAGCCGCACGGAGCGTCTCGTTTTGCATGATAAAGGAGGGGAGGTGAAGGATGCTCCACCGCTGTAATTGTGCGCGGCAAAATAGTAATTAAATCATTTGTAATTAATTAGTAACTAAGTAAACCCGTCGGCATAGATAAGAGCCGAAGCGTATCTATTAGCCGGGTTGCTCTCTCCAGGGCGGGGGTAGTTTTCAGCCCGCTGTGCTGAGGGGCACCCCCGAGGCGAGCCGATGGGCGATGGGAAGCGGCTGCGGGCCGGTGTCGGTGTCGGTACCGGTGTCCGTGTCTGTGTCCGTGTCCGTACCCGTCGCCTCCTGGCGGCAGCGTCCCCAGCGCCGGAGCGGCCGCCCCGCGGAACGGAGGGACCATCATCACACCAGGTGCTGAGCCCGTAGCGCTTGGGCTCAGCTGAGCGGACGGCACGTTTGTTTTTCTTTATTTTTGTCAAAGGGATACTTTCGCTGAGCTGTGGAGTAGTTAGGAACAGCGAAATACGAAGAGGGAAAGATAAGGAAGATTCCTGGCACGTGTCGGTTCTTTGGTTTGGTTTTGTGGTTGGTTCTTTTTTTTTACAGTTATTTTAATATTATTACTACTATTCATGCTGGGTTGGATGGAGCTTTGAGCAATGTGTGGCAGGGGGTTGGAAAGACATGATCTACAAGATCTCTTCCAGCCCAAAGCATTCTATGATTTTGAACAAAATGTTATGTGTTCCAGGTTTGGCCTTGCAAATACAGTGTTACCAGTGTGAGGAGTTCCAGCTAAATAATGACTGCTCTTCTCCAGAGTTCATCGTGAATTGTACAGTGAATGTTCAAGATATGTGTCAGAAAGAAGTAATGGAAAAAAGTTTTGGTAAGAATTTAATAATTATTATTCTCTTTATTTGCTTTGGATAGCATTTGTTGCTTTTGGTTCCACCCATTCACAGTCTTCAGTTATGGATGAATCTGGTGTTCCCACCTAAAGGGACCAGATTCAATTACTAATACTTCTGAATGACTTTGTAACTCAAAGAAGTTAATAATTTTCCTTCAAAACTGGTGTAAAAACTGAAGGATGCAAGCCAAATGTTGATAAAGCTGGTTAATACACAGTCTTATGGGTCTCAGATTTAGTTTTCAGCACTGGAAAATTAATAACAACAAGTTAGTTTAATCTCATTACAGTTAATTACATGGGCTTTTTCCCCAAGAGATGGAAGAGCATTAAATTAGTAATTCCCTCCTTTCTTATATTTACTCAAGCAATTTATATACTCTGAAGGTTCATCTTAAGGGAAGGAAAGTATAGTCATCTTTTCTTTCATCCATTAAAGAAACCATCAAACAAAAGGGAAAGAGGGATTTAAAAAATGCCCAGTAACTTGGGGAAGTTTATGGAGGGAAGAGGAGGGGGTCAGAGGAAGGGCTCAAATGGATTTCTTTGCTATACCAATTTTCTAAGTTGTTTGTTTTTTTTTTTTCTCTTACTGTAATTAATATTAAAGTTCTCATATTTGGAGATAAATGTGTTCAGGAGGAAACTAGCCATGATTCTGCATCTTGCTTCTGTTGTCTTTTGAGCTGTGGTACAAGTGACTGGGTTTTATTAAGTATCATGGAAGGCATTTGAAATTTAGAGGGAACTGTCAGTGTTGCTCTAGCTTTCTACATGAGTAGAAGGCAAGAAGTTTATTAGGGAATGGCAAGGAAGTGTGTTTGTAGGAGTTGGAGCTCATGCAGCCCTCCTACTCTGACTGCAGGCAGCCGTGAGGACACTGGGCATTAGAATGGGCATCCAACAGTAACTCACTGGGGAGTCTCAGCCTGGACATGGCCTCTGCAGCAAGCAGTAGTTTAGGGAGCAGGGAACAGGCTGGGACTTCAGAATCTTGATTTAAGGGGAAGCTGATCTCTGGGATTGCACATCTTGCAGCTGAGGGCAGTGCTTTAGAGCGTGGAGTTCTCTGATGTAAAGAACTCCTATGCTGTTAATGTAGATCAAGCTATAGCCTGTCCTTTCTCAGCAAGTCCTTTGGGAACAGCAGGATGCCTCTCTACCTACAAATGTGTGCAGCCATCCGTCTTGAACAGTAACAATGGTTCTTGGCATTGGCAAACTACTCAGCAGTATCTTCCAAGTGCTTATCAGTCAGTTAGTTCCATGTGCGCTGGCCATTTCAGATCAGCATGTAATGAATCCTAGATAAATAATAACAATTGTTACCACCCATCAAAAGTAGCTGACAGCGTTTCATCCTGGATAACACCATCTACAGTGACTATTGCTGTGAAATACTTAGAACCTCTCCAGCATAGAGAAAAAGCTGTATGTTTAAAGAAAGATTAGTCTCTTTCAAGCTGTATTTTTCCGGGGTATTATATTTCAAGTTTACTTGGAAAGGATAGTGGGGATATGAGATAGTTACGGCTTGCAAGGTCCTTTTAAAGTCTGAATATCTCTAAATGATTGTTTGAAGGCTTTGCTATCTCCACCCCACAGCTTCTGTAGTACTTCAGTAGGTTGGAATGGATGTTGTGGTGATTTGGAGGGCTGTAGACATAGACAAAAAAGTCAGTCCTCATTTAATTCTTAACAGGTGTTTGGTGTTTGCTGTTTGGAGTTTTTTAATACCTTGCCTGATTCCTTCATGTTTTTATTTCAATACAACCTCAGCCTGTATCAACTTCCAGAAACATATCTGTAATCTTCCCTTCAGATGAGTGTTAGAAAGGTGTTTTCAGCTGAGTAAACCCCTTGCAGATTGAAGTGCAAGTCTTCTGGATAAGTCAGCTTGCACTCGTGCACTCACAGCCACTTGTGTGCTGGATGAGGAGGGTGGGATAGGTGGTTGTGCATCTCTCAGCCTGGCAGGCAAGGCCAGCGTGACTGTGGTACACTGAAAATACAAACTGGAACAGTTTTAATACATTTTAGACACACATTGATGCATAATTTGCCATTACTCCTATGAAGAAATGGTTTGCAGTATAGGAATATGGAGTTCTTAAAACAAACTTCTTGGTGTTTTTTTTTTTTCTGTTTCTGCAATTCTATGTTTTCTCTGAGCAGATCCTTGGATTTTTCCTTTAGGAGGTAACTAGCATGCTGTGCATAGCAGGTGCCACTGTTCTATTTAATTTACTTCTATAAATGCAGTTCTTATTAATTTTAAGCTTAGAGATTGTAAATTTCAGCTAGTTAATGAATTGAAATTTTTAACCTATTTCAAACAGTGAAATTTACATTGCAAGCTTAGTTTCTCTGTTATCCTCAGTCAGTTTTAGAGAGGATTGGTTGTAAAACAGATATGACTTAGTTCATCATCCTTTATTGGTTTTTTTCCTAATTGATATTTAAATGTGTGCAATATAAATGCCTTACTTTCACAAGTTTTATTTAATAATTCATTCTACTCCTAACAGTACATTTCATAACTCAATTCTTTTGGTTGTTGCCTATTACTAGAAACTGAAATGTTTCAAATATTGATTTTAATTTAGAATAGACTTGAGTTTGAGTTTTTAACGCAGAATATGAAAGATGTGAATTTGCATTTATTTGACAGCACAATCTCATAATTAGAGTTTTTCCTCTTGACTAGATACAGTCAAAGCAGTGTAATGTTTGTATTTTAACCCATTTCTGTCCTTAATAAAATATAGTTGTGTCAGTGAGCGAAGTGTTATAAGTTCTCTCAAACCTTATTTAAAAGTTAAATGCAGTATTTTGTGATGAACTTCATGGTGTGAGTTGATGTAGCCACCCTTCCTGTGCAGTATGCATTAATCTGTGTGTTTTCTATCAAGGGGGTTGCTGGCTTACATTCTGTGGTGTGTCATACAGTCCCCAGTGTGTGGCCAGTGACTCTTTTCCTATGTATTTGTTAGTGTTCATGGAGTTGTGCCGTGGCAGCTCTGTGATTCAGCTTCGTTTCTGTATTAAACTCCCCGTAGTAAAAGCAACATGGTGGTGAACTACAACTCTGTGCAGCTTTTCCCATTTATGTTGCAAAAAGTTTCTTATGCCTGATCATAGTTAAACCATTTCCCTTCAGTTGCTCTAAAATTAGGGTTAGTGCTTTAGATGTCACTGTGCTCTCTCAGAACACTATCTCAATTTCTGGAGAACCAGGTCCAGGTGAGAAATAGCAGCATAGGCATGTTCTTAACCCAGAGCTTAAAAAGTGGCTGTTAGTGTGGCAGCCTCTGATGTGAGCAGCTAAGAATGCAAGTGTTAGTAACTCATATTTTGGATTAGATCATCTGGCATGTTATCTCAGCTGTTTGTAGTGTCTGGTAGGAATTTACTTCATTGCACATCTTACAGTGAATTGAGAATTGAGTGATACACAAGCATGTATCAGATTAAGTGATTATGTGGAATAGTATAGTTCTGCCTCCCCTGTGGACATGCACTTTGCTGTGGCAGTTTGTGTTTCAGTTGCACTTTGGGGGTCTGTCAGTGCACAGAACCGGAGACTTTGTCAAGTAAATTATAAAATTTTCTCGCTTTAAGCTGAGTTGTATTTAAAAATTTTGCTAGAGGAAGTTTTATGTTTATGTTAACATACTGTTCCAGTGGGAGATACAGGACAAGGTGGTATTTTGCCTGTGATACAGAATCTTACAAACTAGTATTTTAATTAAATCTTAAAAAAAAAAAATCTTTTCTTCAGGGGGAGGAAGGATCAGAATTAAAAGTGGCACTCAAGATGATACCATGTAATTTTCTCATGTCTCAGAAATTAATTGTAAAGGATAAGTTTCTAGAGCAGTCTTCAAGTGAATAAGCAGATGTTTGAAAACTGTGTAGCTTAAATGTTTGAAAAAGGATCAAAGTTCTTACAATAATTCCATTTGCAGATACTTTGTGGAAATACCCATGGCAGATTTCCTGCTCCCACTTGCCTCTCTCCTTCCTATGGATTTTTAACTTAGAAGTGTCGGTGTTCCTTCACTTCTAGAAAATGTGTAGGAACGAATAAATCCCGCAGTATATTGGGATCAGATGAAACATCTTGGTGATGTGTAGATGAGTATATAATGTGTATACGCTCATATATCATAGAAAACACACTGATAATGGTAATTATCATTACCATTTGCCTTTTACTGAGGGCAAGAGCTATCAGAGTTTAAAGGCTGATCTAAAACCTACTTAAGGCAAAATGCAACTTGCAACGTGAATACATCAGAGAAATAAAGCAGGAAGGATGAGACGATCAGCCCAGAGAGGTAGCCAGTCTAAATTTCTTGGAATTCTCTGTAAGTAAACCTGCCCATGTGCATGTTTGGAACAATTGTGTTCCAGTGTTTTGGAACCTTGTGTTCTAATGTAGTTATGAATGTACTTTTACTAACTTTTGCTTTTGTAAGATTAAAAAAAAAAAAGAACTGTGATAGCAAGACTGATACTTTAAAATGTCAGGAATTTTTCTTTGCAAGCAAATTTGGAAACGACCTTGTTATTTCTATTAATCTGCAACAACAAACTTTGCTTATTTGTTTGGTGTACAACGGTCCTTTTAATATATTTACATAGGATGTAATCCTGCAGTGTAATTAAAGCAACTGCTGTAATTGTGTGCTTAAAAGTAGTGCATGGGAACAGCATGAGCAAGATCATGATCTCAGGATTGAATTATAATTTTATTTTATCTATTTCTTTGAATTCTTTTCAGTATTTGCTTTCCAGTTGTTTGTTTTATCAGTGTCTACGCTGAGTGATGAGTTGGCCTATGGTAATTTTCCTACCTGTGATTAATACTCAGTTTTGTTGCACTGTGTTGATGCCATGATTGAGTTGCTTTGTGTGTGGCTGTTAAGGATTACATAAGCACTTCCTTTTTTCTGTATAGCACATACTTTTTT